ACTTTGCAGGCAGCGCTGGCCAGGACGTGCATTTTTGTGCAGGAGCTGAGGGCCTGCAAGCCAAATTGGCAGCCTGTGCCTCCAGCCACAGGATCTGAGAGTCACAGGCACCTCTGCAGATTTTAGCTCCAAATCCAGCCTCTGGTATGAACAATGAACAATGTGCTCCAACACTTCTGGGCTGGTCAGGCACGCGGAGCTGGAAATACAGGCAGGTAACAACTTCTCGTGTTCAGAGGTCTCTCTGTAATTAGCTTGTTGGCCATGGAGAGAATTTCTGACAGGTTACTGTAGAACAGGAGCTGATTTCCATTTTTACAGCTCCATGTTGAAGTCTTACCATCAAACATATCCCTCCCATGCCATGGAGGTTGGTGCACACCTGGAAGGAGGCTCCTGAAGGCCTCAGGAGGATTCCCAGATGGTCTGAGTGGTAGATGAGATCCTCTTGTTCTGAAAACAGATGTGGACCTCAGACTCAACATCTCTGTGGTAAATACATTTGGACTGTGTTCCCCTTACCTGTGTGCAGCAAAAATGCTGAGTGAAACCTGCAGAACCAAAAAAATGAGTCAGGAAAGTCTGTTCTATTTAAAATCAACGGTGATTAAGCAGTATATAAAATCTCACCATAAATGTGTCGATGGCTACAGTTAACACACAGTGACAAAGCAGAGATGACTTAAGCTCTTGGCTTATGGGGGTATTAAAAACCAGCCTGACTGACACATCACAAGCAGGGATGGCAGCTGAAGTTGCTCACAAATGATCTTTCCAGCTTGGTGTATCACATATTTCCCTGAACAGCACAAAACCAAACCCAAAGCAAAACAAAGCAGCCCTGTGTCCAGCTGAGGAGGCTGCCTGATTCCAAGAGAATGCTTGTGCAGGCATGAAGCTTCCCCTGGAAGAACACTGGAGTGAGATCATGAGGAATTCACATCTCTGTGTCATCCCAAGATGCCACATGGCGCAGCAGAAAATCCTGGGGGAGGAAGCAGAACATGCAGATCCACTGCTGAGTGTTCTGTGTCAGCTCCATGCCCGTGAATTTAATTCCCATTGCTTTGGGTTCAAACTAACCCAAATCACAGACGGGTTCAGGACTGAAGGCAAAATATCCTCCACAGGAAGATTTCCAGTCCAAAGTGTGAAAGATGAGGTGGAATTCAAAGGTAAAGACGCTTTCTTTTTCCAAAGGAATTAAGGTGCAACAGCTCACACGGTGGAGGTTTTCTGCACTATAAGTTCTTGGAATAAAGGTTGGTTTTTGAAAGAATAAGGAGTTTCTCTCAGAATGCTTTGACTCTGGGAGCTGATGTTTTAAGGCAAGCACCACGTGACATTCCAGAATATCCAGACATCTTCTGGTAACTGTGGATGTAACATAATTCCCTTTGCACTCCAGTTTCTAATACTCTTCTAGGTGATGAGTTTGACCCTAGAACCTTGTCAAAAAGACAGAGTTTGTGCTCATTTTGCTCCCCTGTTCCCATTCTCCTGCGTTATGGCCCAGTTTGCTCAGTGCTTGTCCCCGAGCTCTGACAGGGCTGTGAGAGCATCAGAGGTTCTCAAGATCCCATATCCCCACTTTTAGGCACAGCACATCCTCAGGCCCTGGGGAAGAGAATGGAGAGTGCTGAGCCCACATGGCATGAAAAATAATTCCAATAAGGCATCCCGAGAAATGGTCCCATCGGCAGCTCTAATGAATCCTAATTAGAAGCTGTCACTCCTTGTTATGGGAAGGAAGGAATGATTCAGCTTTCCCACCCCTTAACCTTGGAGACACACAGGGATGAGACCTGTCCCTAGAAATGGTTTAATTTAGGGTATTTCTGCTCCTGGAAGACATTCTTTGGGAATTGCTGTGTGGGGAAAGGGCAGGCACCTCCAGGAGTGCTGGCAGGTTCTTCTGATGCTCTGAATTCATGCACGTACAGATGCCCACTTGAGGACACTTTATCTTTTAAACATTCGTGCCTGTCATTTCTCATTCTCTGGACTCCTGCCTCAAACTCCTCTCCTGCTCAGCCTATTCCCTCCCACATTTATGCACTGGATTCCCAGAGTGGATCCCCCTGGAATGCACATCCAACCCCCAACAAGTCTGCAAGGTGACAACGTCCAGTTTCTGAGGGCTGTGGACGTTGCCAATTGTAACAGCAGGTTTATAAAACACTGCTGTGAAACTGTAGCCCCTAAACAACCCAGCCTCCCCTCTGCCTCCTGCTAGCACATTCCTTACATCCATCTTTTTTCAGACACACGGCTTCTTGACAGCATTTACATAACCTGGCTGAAAACGCTCCCCCCTGGCCCATTAAATGCCTGCTCTGAAATCCAAAGCTCCCGTTAAAAGGATGGAGCTTTCCAGGACTGCAGCACTTGCACAGATGGTTGATGCTCACGGTTTGCTCTACATGTTCTACAAGAGTGGTGTTTTCTTCACCAGCACGCACGGTCAGAGCTTTCCCATGGGAATTGCTTGCTTTGCTCAGATTATTATTTTAAAGCTGTCATCAGATGTGATCACCCGCTGGATTAGAGGGAGCAAAAGGAGATGATCAGATAATCTCCCAGGCACAAAAGCGTTTCGAGCTGGATTTGAAGGGAGCTCTGTCACCTATGGCCCATTTGTTCAGCTCAGGGTTCTCCCTCCTGTAGAGAGGTGGGATGTTGTAGTAATTTGCACAAGGAAGAATCCTCTGAATCACACAAACACTGGCAGAGCACAAGCAAGAAGCAAAGCCTTTGGCTCTAACCGTGGCTGTGCAATTCATCTGCCCCTAGATCTGGTGCAGGAATACAGAATTAAATCTGTAACTGCCTTTATTGCAGTGTAGAAGAGTAAAGTGCTCGATCCCAGAAATTCTGTCAGTCAAATCTTTCTCAGATAAACATTCCCTAATTCAGGATTTTAACCTTTTCCAGACTCCCCTCTTCAAAGCCTCAGAAATTCCCAGTGTTTCTCAGGCAGGAACCAGCACATCAGAAAGTAATTAATGAGAGCAGGAGAAAAAAAAACCCCAAAGAATGTGCTGAATAGAGGCAAAACTGGAGACTCAAAGCCCTCATCCCATGGGCTGCCTGCTCGGTCCTCAGGATGCAGACAAAAGACATTCCAGCTCCTGACAAAAGGCCTGAAGAGATGCTGGAGCATCCAACAACCCCCCAGGACTTTTGTGTCCCCGTGGGACAGGAGGAGTGGCAGATACAGGGAAGGTGGAGTGCCTGGAACTGAGAGCTGTGAATCAGGTTGTCCCTGCTCCTACCTGCAGATGATCCACGGGAGACAAAGTCTGCATGGAGCATCCCATCAGTGCTATTCTGAAAGAGCTAAGCAGCAAGCCTGAAATAATCAGTCAATTCATTAGGCAAAGCCTGTAATGTTTTCTGGAAGCTGTACCCAGGACCACCAGCCAGTTAATCCCATTTCTAGCAGGGCCGATTCTCACCCAAGGTCTGGCAGACACCTCAAATCCACCTTAAATACTTTGGAAAAGTCCCCCACCATAAAAAAAGTTGCTTTGGATAGATGATAACCTCAAAGGAATTGCTGTGCCTCAGTTTTCCCATTGACAAATCCGGGTGACAGAAATGCCACTCAGCTAATTCCCTTGCAGCGCTGTAAAGATCATTTGATTAACATTTGTAAAACCACACACGATTCCTAGAGGGGAATTGCTGATGAAGAACTGTTATGATGGTTTGCTTATTCCCCTGATGCCTGAAACATGGAACTTGGCAGGATTCCAGGGGGAAAATCCTTGTGAGCTGAGAGGTGAGCCAACCTGACAGTCAGACTGTTGGTGCAGGCAAGAGTCATTATAAACCTGGGGGTCTGATCTGAGCTCAGAGCATGGGCAAGGCTTTGTCTGAGCCAGGAAATGCAGAATCATGGAATGGTTTGGATTGGAAGGGACCTTTAGAGAGCATCTAAGTCGCCTTGTGCATCACACACCTTGATAAAGCAGGCTGATACCTGCCAGGAGAGAACACCCACTCTAAAGGCAGCTGCTTGGGAGAGTCTCAGCTGCCAGGAACACGAAGATTCCTCCCAGACAAGAGGTGCCAGCACAGAAAAGCTCTTACTGTCCGTGGAGAGCCAAGAGTGGCTCCACCAAGTGCGCGTGGTGGAACAGTCCAATTTCAGCACAGCGCTCCTGCAAAGTGAACAACTGCCCTTCCACCCAGGAAAGACAGCCCTGGCCTCTCACGTGCACTTGGTGGGCCGCTCTTGGCACTATGTGGGCAGCTTGAGCTTTCAGTGCTGGCACCTTTTGTCCTGCAGGAATCTCCTGCAGTCCTTCGCTTGCAGGAACCCTGCTCTTGAATTGGCACCCGCTTCCCAAAACTCAGTGCTGACCTTGGAATCCCCCATCCCTGGAAGTGTCCAAGGCCAGGCTGGTTGGGGGCTTGGAGTAGTGGAAGGAGTCCCAGGGGGTTAGAACAGGATGAGCTTTAAGGTCCCTTTGGACTCAAACCATCATGTGATGGTAGGAAAAAGCCGCTCCCACCCTTCTCCCTGTGCTGCTCTCGTGGCTTTACCCGCTCGTGTTTTAGCGAGGAGAAACCGCAGCTCTTAAACCCCTGCCGGTTCCAGAGCGCTCACGCGAGGATGCCCTCCCGTGTCCCTCACCCACCTCCCGCTCCCAACAGGTGCCGGCAGTGGGTGTGGCCGTTCCCGTGGATCAGGGAGGGGAAAACACGCACGTGGGAGAGGTCGGAGGGTCGAGGTTGGGCTGGGGGCATCGGTGCCGCTTCCTCTGCGGAGGAAGGCGGGTGGGACCCCCCTGCGCCACGGGGGCAGGGGCAGCGGGTCCCCCACGGGTGTCCCTGGGTGTCCGCAGGGGCTCGGGGCGCTGCGGTCCCCCCGCTCCCCCCCCGGCCCCTCCCGCCTGGGAGGGCGGACTCGCCGCCGCCGCAGCCCGGATGCCACCGCCGCCGCTTTCCTGGCCCTGCTCCCGGCTCCCGGTGCCGCCGCTTCCTCCCGGGAGCCGCGGGGAGGGGGCCCAAGGGCTTCTCCTCCCGCCGGGTTATTTTTTCCGGCCGCTGCTCCAGCGGGGGAGGTGGGAAGAGCCAAAGGCGGCGGTACCCCCTTCCCCCCCCCCCCCCCCCCCGGCCGCTGCAGCACATGGGAAGCAAAAGTTTTCCTCCTCCTCCTCCTCCCGCTGCTCCTCCTGCTTCTCCTGCTCCCGCTCTCTCCCCTCCGCCGGCTGCCCTCGCCCCGCAGCCCCCCCGGGCCGCTCCCCGGTCCCCGCATCCCGAGGATGCTCCCGCGGCCGCTCCGCTCGGAGCCCGGCCGGGATCTGAGGCGCTCCGGGATGGACGGCCGGGAATAAAGCGCGGCCGGAGCCTCTCCGGCTGCTCTGAGCGCTGGGAAGGGGGGAAGGCGAGACTCGGATCGCATCTTCCAGAGGGATCTGCGAATTTGCCGAGGAAAGAAGGGGCTGTCGGGCAAATTTAATCAGATGGTTTAGCGGCGCCGGCGAGGCAGCGCCGCATCGCTGTGCTCCGGCCCCACCATGGGCACCGGCATGTGCTCCAGGAGGCAGAAGGGGCTCCTGCAGACCGCCTTCTGCCTGGTCACCGTGGCGTGCCTGGGCTCCGGAGTTTTCCTCTACAACCACTTGCAGCAGAAGGTGCGGAACGCAGAAGCCCTGGCCCAGAAATACAAACAGCAGCAGGAAGCGCTGTCAGCGCAGCTCCAAGGTGAGTGACCCGCTCTGTGTGTGTGTCTGTGTGTGCACACTCTGCCCGAACTTCCCTCGCTCCCATCGTTACCTGCCGCTGGCTTTGCTGCCCAGCCACAAGCCTTGGGCACGTTCAGCTTTTTAAAGAGCTCTAAGATGTTCCCGTTTCCTTTTCCCCCCCCGGCGGGTGTCTGGAATTAGAACAGCCGCGAGTCTGAATTGCTGCTCGCAGCGAGGGGAGCGGAGCGTGTCGGATGGGCGAGTTCAGCTGCGTCACGTCTATTCCATTTCTTCTCCCTTTGGCTGTAAAAATTAAACCGCTGTGAAGCAGCACCAGCTCAGACAGGGCTGGCTGGGGCTGGCTGGGCAGGCTCCGAGATGTGGCTCCACTCTCTACCCTGTGCCTGTCCGGGAAGCGGAGGGAGAGGGAAGGGATCCTTCAGTAAAGTTTGCTGTCACGCTGTGCTGCCCATCGCCTTTGCAAGGAAACGAGCCCACCTTCTTCTCGAGAGGTTGATCCGTGACTACAGAAGGTTTGCCGGCATGTTTGGGGCTGATGGATGCCGCGGCACACAGCTCCCTAAAAGGGGGGAGGAGGAGGAGGAGGAGGAAGAATTGGCTTTTCTGAGCCCGCTGACCAGCACTTGGCTCCTCTGGCAAGGGCTGCCAGAGACCGGAAGGCAAACACAGTGTGGGTATCCCTCCTCCCCCTTTCTCCCCTCAGTTGTCCTCCTTCCGTAAACGCCTGACTGTGGGAAAATGGCATTTTAGCCCAGGGGAGGTCTGGGCAGGGAAGGCTGAGGACACACGTTACTCCATCCACGAACTCTTACCTCCTTTGTCTAGTCTGTCACCCCAGCCTCAGTGCATCTGCCAGAGCGACGTTTCCAGCAGCTGTCACCAGATTTGGAGTCTCCAGAGGGATTTGCTGAGCTCCCTGTGGAGAGGTTTGGTGGGAATCCGCTCCGGGGAGCCAGCACTTGGGTGTGCAATGCTTGGAGGACGGGCTGGGTCTGAGTGCCCACAGAATGAGTTTCGTGTGGACAAAATATTGTTTGCTGGGGTTCTGCTCAAGGTCAGGAGATGCATTTAACCCTTTTTTTTGGTTTGTTTGTTTTTAATCTGACAAGTCGGTTTAGATCGCAGTGTTTCCATTGGAGCTCTTCCTGGGGCTGAAATCAAACACAGGGTATCCATCCTGACCCCTGTGGACCCGTCCAATGACACTGTTTCCAGAGCTGAGGAATTCTGCAGATCTGTGACTCGACATTTATGTCTTTTAGGGTTAAATCCTCTCTGGTGGTTCTGTGTGCGATGTTGTGATGCAAATGTAACATCCTCCAAGGGCTGCCGGAGCCCAGGGCTGTGTATTTGTGTTTGTAAACAGCGAGAGCAGAGTGTGGTTGTTCCTCTCCAGGAAACACGCTTTAAAAAAGCAATCAGTCTTGGAAAGGGATCTAACTGTGTGTGTTTAGGTTCACTGCTATCATCCTAGGGCTGTTCCCATTCCTTCTATCAGGCAGTCAAACACCTCTGGTGTTGCTCGGTCCCAGCCACGATTTCCACCTGCACCCTGGGTTGGGGAGATGCAAAGATAAGCAGGGCAGAAGTTAACCCACATTCCTTTCTGGTGTGTCAGCATCTCATGCTCCTCTTGGAGAGAGGGGCTGGTTCTGCAGAGAATAAGATGACAGTGGTAGCCTCAGGGAACCCCAGCTTTGGCAACAACAGGCTCAAGCCAACAACTGAGCCAGGCTTGTATTTTTTTCCACCCAAATATGTTTGAATGGCAGAGCTGTTGCCTGTTGCTGGGGTTTCTAAACCCCCCTCCTATTCCTAAATACAGTTGTTGCCATGGCTACCCTTCTTTATTTTGAGAAGACACTTGCTCGTCCAACAAATTTCACAAAGGCAAGGCTTCTCTTTGGATTTGGCTGGTGGGAGAATCCTGGTGGCTGGCAGAGAGGAGCCAGTTCATGGCAGACCTGCAGTGCAGGGCTGTCTGGCTCATCTGGTGTCAGTGCTCTGGTGCTGGACACAGCAGAGCAGGGAGCTGGGGCTCTGGGCTCCCTCCCTGCCCTGTGCTCACTTGTTGCATGACTTTAATTCCTGTCTCTTGGCTTTAATTCCTGTCTCTTGACTTTAATTCCTGTGTCTTCTGCATCTCGTTCTGTCTCTTCAGCAAGGCACTGCCAGGAGCTTCACTGTTTCAGCACCTCAAATCCTGCATTTTGGCTCATTTGGCAGCAGGTGACGGTTTCTTGGTGCCGAGCTCTGGCTGAATCTCAGGATTTAGACTCTCACCACCCTCTATTCTCCCTTACAATAGCAAATTGTCAAAGACTTCCTGGCTCCCTGGCCTGTGGAGCTGTCTGGTGCCAGGTTGGTTGGATGAGGTGCTGTGTTCCACCGCCAAGATAAGACCAGAACAGAGAATCACAAAATTATAGCATATCCTGAGTTGGAAAGGACCCACAGGGATCATCAAAGTCCAACTCCTGGCCTAAGAGCAGAGACACCACTGTGTGCAAAGCTGAACCCACCTTCTCTGGGCTCTGGACACCTGGAGGAATGGCAGGAGAGATCACAACTTTCTTTCCCAGTCAGTGGGATGTGGAGCTGTTCCTGAAGCCTCCTCTGCTCTGGGATCTGTGGCTGGGGGTGCTTGCACCAGCCCACCCCTACAGATGCTTTTCATTGCTGCTGTGAGGTTCCCATCACACCAAAGGCTTGGCCTCAGGAGCTCTGCTAGATAAGGCTGCAAGAAAGGGAGATGCTTCTGGCAGAAACGTGAGTGCCCAGAGCTCCCAAATCCCCGGGGAAGGGGCTGATGTTCTCAAGGTGACAATTTCCTTGAACAAGGAGTGAAGGAGCACCCAGGGTGTGCTCAGCTGGGGAAGCCCTCAGGGTGACATCTGAGCAGCCTGGTGGGAAAAGTGTTCCTAAAAATAAAACTGTCATGAAGTAGATGCTTGGACAGCTGCAGTGATGGCTTTAGCAGGGACGCTCTGCAAGGGAAACCTCCCTCCAGATGGAAACCACGTATTTCTGCTGGAATGGTTCCTCACTCCAGAGGAACATCTTAACCAAGTGGCCCAGTCCAGGCGAAGCATCTTCACCGCTGGGGTCTGCCTGTGTTGTCTGGGGAGGGTAACCAAGAGAAGGAAGGAGATAAAGTGGCTGAGACAATGAGAATTCCAGAGCTAGGGCACCGGTCCTTCCTGCTTACCCCACTTAGTTCATTTTCCTGGAGATTGTGTGTTACAGCATGGCTTGCCCCCAAAGGTCTTGGCTCTGGAGGGATCTTGGCTCTGGAATGAGGTTTCCTTCATCACCTCTCCCCTCTGAGTTGCTGCCTAGTGCTGTTCTGGCCCAGTGCCCATCTGTGCCAGGGGGATGAGGGGCCTGTTCCAGCTGAGGCTGCAGCTCAGGGAGAGCTCCTGCTCTGCATTCAGACGTCAGGGGGCATTAAAATCACCATCCAGCAGGAAGCTTCCGTGGTGCTTTGGTTTGTCACGTGGCTGCTGCACCAAGCAGCCCCATCCCTGTCCCTCCTCTGCTCCTGTGCACGGTGCAGGTGCTGTTTTGGGTGGGATGGCACAGCCTGGCTTGCTTTTCCTCACTGGCCTGAGGGCCAGTCAATGGGAGGGGAGGAAACGCCTCTCCTGCATGCAGGAAGGCTCTGGTTGTCTTAACCCTGGCTGGGCACTTGGCCCACAAAGACATAATTTAGCCCTTGGCCACTAAAAGCTGCTCTTGGGCATCACAATTCTGGTCTCTGAAGCAAAACCTGAGTGCAAACACCCCCAGGGCGAGGCCGGTGTGGTGGTGTATCCTGAATATCCACAGCCTCCAGCCCAACTGTGCCCTCCCCTGCTCCAGACAGGAGAGGAAATAGGTGGGGGGAAAAAAAAATAGCCCCGTGTGAAGAAATGTGAGGCCTCTCTCACTCTGTGCCCCTCTCTGCTCCCCAGTGGTTTACGAGCATCGCTCCCGCCTGGAACGGTCCCTGCAGAAGGAGCGAGGGGAGCACAAGAAGACAAAGGAAGGTGAGTGCCTCACAGGGGGGTGTCCCAGCAGTGGCCAGACAAACCCCCTCAGCTGTCCTGGGACCCCGTGTGGCCGTCCCTGAGTGCCCCCAGGTGAGCTCAGCCCCGGTTTGTGCCTGGGGAGCAGTGAACTCACGTGTTTGTTGTCCGTGGGCAGAAGGTGCTGGGAGGGAGGTTCTGTTCTCTCATCCTCCTACTCACGTCCTCAGTGCAATCTGTGAGTAACAGTGCCCAGGATGTGGTGTTTGAGCACTTGAAGTGGTGGCTAAACCTGGCACTAGACCATGGTTTTTGTTTTTTTTTTTTCTTGGAAGTATGTCAGCTTTCCTCTAAAAGTGATTTGAAGATGCTGAGCTCTACAAGTGCTGAATGGTATCAGCATCACTGCCCTCCACGACTCGTGGACAATGCAGACTGTCAGATCCCTTAGAGCTGATGCACATAAGGAGATATAAACATGCAGGATATTTTGAGAGCACAAAATCCAACAGGAAACAGAAAGCCAACAGTTCAGCCTTTCAGTGGAGGGCTGTGCTGGGATATCAGGCCCCTCTGCACCTGATTCTTGCTGGCAACTTAGTAAATTGTGTTTTATCTTCAAAACTGGTGTGTGGAGTAACTCCAGTGCCCCTTACTCCAACATGCTCCATGTTTTTGGAGGTGCTGCCATCCAGCATCCAGGTTTGGCTGCATCACTGAGGGAGAAGCTGCATTTCTGCCACCCCTAAGTTATTTGGTGGGGACCAACTGAGAAAATACATCCCAATACATGTTACCTAGTCACGGGACCTTCCCATTTTAAGAAGGTGGTGCAGATGAGATCAGCAGATTCATTCCTTTTGGCCTCACAGAAGCTTTGGTTTCTCTTTTCCAAAGTCTTTTCCTTTCAGAGCACCCCAAATCCTTCTGCAGCCTCAGAGACATCAAACTGTAGCCTTTTGTGTGCTGAAGCAGGAAATCACTTGGAAATTCTGTAGGCACTTGCCTACAGAATGGGAAAGCAAAGACCTTTTGGGCCAGTCTAGCTGGGTGGACAGCTCTCCTGGAAAATACTCCCATCTTTCCAAGGGCATTGAGTGACCTCCTGGCAGCATCTGCATTCCAGCTTATTGACTTGCAGCCTTTTGCTCAGCAAGGGGCTGATTCCCTCCTTCCCTCCCCCTCCACCCCAAAATATAAACCAGATCCCTGTTAAATTCCAGCTGATTAAATTGTCTTCTCTTCTTCCCCTTCCAGATTTTTTAGTGTATAAGTTAGAAGCTCAGGAAGCTCTCAACAAGGAGAAGGTGGGTCAGGTTTGTTCCTCGGGGTGTCTGTGTGATGTTGGGGAACGTTTTCCTGGCGCCAGCGGGGTTGGGAGGCACGAGGGGCTCGGTGTGTGGATGGTACAAGGGTGAACTTTGGCTGACTCCTCTGGGCAAGGCTGCTGGTGTGTGAGGATTTGCTTGGGCTGAGGGAAGGGCTGCTCAGTGCCTGTTCTCCCTCAGGAGACAATTCCCAGCTCCTGGGGGAGCCCTGGGCTGCAGTCTGAAGGTGGAATTCCTGCTCCACGCTGCAGGAGAGTCCTGGAGAAACTGAATTCAAGGCACACCACGGGGGAACAGGGAGAAGAAAGACCATGTGGTGTGGGGAAAAGTATATCCATTGTTTTGTGTCTCCAGGGACTGTCAAATGATTTTCACTCGCCTGTGGACTTCTCATGCAGCGGGGAAAAGGGCTCTTCAGTGAGGGTTGGGAAGAAATGCATCCCTGGGATAGTCTGTCACATCCACTTAGGTTATAAGGCTGGGTTTATTCCTTTCCCAGAGCATCTGCTGATGAGATGCTGGAGAAGGGGAATGGCTTTTAGCCCCTCCATCTGGGGGTCAATGCCAGCCTGTCACAGGAAAACTCGGCGATGAACATCTGTATTTTTTTAACCTGTGCTCATCTGCTGGTGATATTTCGTTCCATATTGAGAATTTATGATATAAATTGATTTGGGGGCTGTAGCGGGAATGTCTCCATGAGGGTTGGTTTGCACTTCCACGGTGCTGTTTTGTGGATCAGTCTCGTTGCTTTAAGGTCCCAAACGAAGGTCCCAGTGGATGTTTGTAACCCTGAGTGTCCTGGGACAAGCTCAGGTGCCACTGCTGCCCTGGGGACAGAGCCTTTGGGCACAAAGGGTGGTGACTTTCACCCCTGCTGTGAGGAGATGGTGGTGCTGCGGTGAAGAGTGGCACTTTAGGGGCACAGGGGAAGAATGTGACCCTTAGCAAGGCACGAGCAGAGCTGCTGAACTGCTCCAGACCCCTCCGTGGGCACACACAAATCCCTCTCCGCTGCTGGTTTGTGCCAGCTGAGCCTAGTCTGGCTGCTGTACCCTGGTTACAGAGCTTGCTGTAGGCTCCCTCAATTGCCTAGTGATCCATTTTTTGTTAAATGGTGCAATTTGGGTGTGTAGGCGACGGGCTCAGCTCTGCTGCTCTCTGCCTCCCCCTCAGCTGCTGCCAGGAGAGCTCAGCCTTCGGGGAGGGGGGTTCACTGTGCTCAGCTCCTCTAGTGCTGGGCCTGGCCTAGATACAGAGCTGAAGGCTGGGGAAAAACTCCTCAGAATGTGAATTAAGAGTGCAGTGAATGAGCTGGTTTGAAGAGGTTCTTCTCCAGCCCTGCATGTTCTGCTGGTCACCTCGGTGGGCTGGTCCCGGTCCCTACCTGTGTGTGTGCAGTGGTTGGGTTTTTTTTCTCCCTGCCCTGGGTTTTTCTGGACTCTAATGGCACTGTTGAATCTCTTTTTTCTTTATCTTTAATTCCCAGCAAGACTCCATGAACAGATACGGGGCCCTCAGCTCCCAGCACAAGATCCTGAAGGTAAGGGAAGCAGGGTCATGGATTGACCATCTGCTGCACATTAAAGGATGCTCCTGGGAAGGAGAGTCCTAGGAGGGAGGAGACCACTCCGTGCTGATCTACATTCCTTCCTGACTGTTCAGGTCCAGGGGAGTTTCCTATTTATTCTGTATCAGGTTACAGCTTTCACCTACCCCTCTGTTCGATGGCAGCCCCTGTGCTCTTTATCACAGGGGATTCTGCTGCTCAGCCTGCTCCTTTCTGGGTGCCTTCAGTGTGAAAATGGGTCTGTTCATCCTAGCTTGCCCTTTGGGCTAATACAGTATATTCCAGCCCGTGGAAGAGGCAGTTTATAGCATTTTATAGCTGATCACCTGCCCTACCTGGAGCGTATCCTGATGTTAAATTTTCCTTTTTTTGGAGCAAGGGGGCTGGTGGTGGTTTTTAAAAGGTCTTTAGCTAGAGCTTTGGCAGGGAGATGGTAATTTAATTCTGGGCTGTGGAAGGAGGGCTGGGTTCCAGCAGCCCTCAGCACCGCTGGGTTGTATTTCCTGAGCCGGGCTGGACCTCCAGCTGCCTGGCTCTTGGATTCAAACTTCGGGAAAAGGGAAGTACAGTTCTGTCTCTTGGGTATTATCCAGCTCTGTGGACTCTGGGAACGCTTTGCAACAGCAACATTCCCCCTCATAGCAACTGCAGGCTGAGCAGGATGCTCTGGTTTGCTGCTCTCGAGGGGACAGGGAGAGCATTTTGGGCTGGCTCCCTTTCTCTCGCTTCCTTTTATTGGAGGGGTGGGGAAAAAAAAAAAAAAAAGCCAAACTATTTTTTTTAACTACATTTACAGCTGCTGAAAGACAGACCAGCCCTTGGGGCTGCACAGTGGGAGATTTCACACACACCCCCCACCCCGAAAAAGCAGCATTTAGCCCAGCTCCTGCTAGTTACGAGCCTGTGAGTAGCACTTCTGCTGCTGGAGCCCAGGCAGAAACGCTTCCCACTGGAACTGGCTTCCTCAGGAGGCAGATTGCTGCCGGGATATCCTCCACTTGGGAAGTGGACGTGTCATGCTGAGCAGAAGCAACGAACTCTGCTGAGCTGCAGGTCCCAAACACGAGCAAAAGGGTTCCATGAAGCCACAGCACATCTGGCTTTGGTGTCCCTGGTCTCTGCTGTTCTCCTGACCTGCACTGGAATCCTCCATGGCTGATTCACATCTGGAGCTGGCACAGCAGCCCAGAGGGGCAAGGGCCTTGGCTCGGTCCAAAAATAGCAGTTGTGCTCACTGCCTGTGTTGTCTGGATTCCTGCTGGGGCCAGACTTTGTCTGACAATTCCTTTCTCCCTCCTGAGTGGAGATGAAAATGTGTTTTGCTCCCATCCCTCTGCAGGGTATCCTGGCATTCCCTGGAGCAGGCAGGCAGGGAGGGGGCGGCCTCAAACAAAGGATTTTTGACATGAACTTCCTGAAACTGCTGGAACACCAAAACTAGCAGTGAGCTGTGCCCTTCCTCTGCTTGTGGGTTAAGGCAGCCACCTCCTGATTCCACTTTGTGCACTGCTGTCCACAAAGCTGCTTTTGAATCCCGGCAGGAATACCTGGGGTTGAGGGACTGTTATTTTCTTCTCCCCCTTCACCTGCCCCGTTCCCCCAGAGCCCTCAGTGACCCAGATCTGACACATTTGGGCACTCCCTGTTGTGTGAACAACAAAGGGAAGGTGAGAGATGAGAGAATTCCCGCAGCTGAGTTGGGGAACTCCTGATTTCTGGAAGATGGTCTGACTCCTGAGCGATAAGATTTCCCCATGTGAGCACCAGAGAAAAGCCACGACAGTTTGGCTGCCTGGGTCAGGAATGTTCTGCCTGCAGGTAATTAAATATTGCCTCTCTGGAAATAGTTTAGTGTGTTCCAGACTCCCTGCCTGCCAGTGACTCAAAGGCATCTGTGGGTTGCTCCCCAGGTCTGCACACACCGGTCGCAGCAGCTGAGAGGGAGGATGCTCCATGAGCTCAGAGAGGAGGCAGCCTCAGGTGCTGCCTGTGACCTTGGGAAAGGCACTTCTCTCCCTCTCCAGCTTCCTGCTGCTGCCAGAGGATGAGCATTCCCTCCCTCCTTCCTGCCTGGGAGCAGTCTGGGGACACTCATTATGCACATCCCCTTCCAGGCAGAATATGGGTTAGGAATTAATTGACCTGAGCTGACGAGGACTTAAAATTCCTTGAATTTCTTACGGGTTCCTTGTTCAGATCAATCCTCACTCGCTAATGTTGGCACTTTCTGATGTGTTTGGTATCAAAATGATTTTAGGGAAGTGGTTCCTCCACAGGGCTTTCTGCCAGGGGCTCTGATGAGAACTGCAAGCACCTCATGTCTGTGAAAATCAAAGCAGGAATCTTCTGTGCTCTCTATTACCCCTCCAGATCTTGTGATCTGATTAACCTGACATCCTTGTGCTTCTTCTCTGTCCTGGCTCCGGGACCCCTCTGCACCAGCAGCCTTTTCCTCTGCATCACATGTATTTTTGGAGCACAGCTATATCTCTTTTAGTGGAGGGTAATTGCTTCAGGGGGAATGCCAGGGACACAGACACTTTGTTTTCCTGGGGACAAATGCAATCATCAATAGCATTTAGAGGTTTGGGTGGTTATTTTTAAAAAAGAATCTTTTTTTTTTCCCCTCCCAGGAGAGCTGATTGAAATGGCTGCCTGAGTCCTGAGGGGGGATTGTGTGGCAGGGCCAGGGTTCACCTGAGAGCCAGTCAATCTGCATACATAATTGGTGTTGACAAACTGAATGTGGAAGGAATCTCTCTGGGTTACCATGGGAACAACAACCAAAAAAAAAAAAAAGAAGAAAAAAAAAAGGAGGTGAATTCTGGTTCAGCGGGTCCCAGCAAAAGGATGTTTCTGCATGTTTTGTTCTTGGGCCCTGCAAGAGGGGAGGGGAAAAGGGAACAGCCTTTCAGCCCCCTTCTATCTGCCGAGTTCTTGGCCTGCTTGAAATACTCTGTGGTCTTGGGAGAGTCTTGTTATCCCGGAATTTGGTGTTCCTGAGGGGAATGTGGGCTCTCTCTGGTCCTTGTCAGAGGGTGTGGTGTCCTTGCACAAGCTCTCCCTGCTCCCTGGGATCTACCCTTGCAGGTGAAGTCCTTCTGCATGGCTGTGGTTCTGGAGAGGACCCTGGATTTGCGAGGGATTCCACAGGGATTTGTGGAAATATCCCAGCAAATATCCCAGCCTGTGTGCAGGGAGGCTGGGAAGGAGCAGGAGGAGTTCCTGTGTCCTGGAACAGTTCCTGTGTCCTGGACTGCTGCCACTTTAGTGGCTTCCCAGGAGACCTCTCAAGGTGGAGTTTACCTGGCATTTCACATCCCCCCTGAATTCCTGAACTCAGGGAATACCTGACCATGCCTGGGATTTCTGGCTACCTCACTGAGGGGGAACAAACATCTCCTGCCTCCCCAGGCAACCTGTTCAGCAGAGGCACTCAGTGAGCACTTACCAGCAGCTACATCACTCCCCTCCTTGTGCTGACTCTGTCACTTCTCTCGTCCCCAGAACCAGCACGACGATGTCAAGAAGCAGCTGCTTGACCTGCAGCTGCAGCACAACAGCCTGAAGCTGGAACACCGTAAGGCAGTGGAGAGCCACAGCCAGAAATACGCCCAGCTGCAGCAGGAGAAGGACAGCGAGGTCACCAACCTGCAGGGTGAGCGTGGGGAAGAGCCAGGCTGAAGAGCTGAGCTCGGGACAGGGCAGAGATTGCTCTGCAGGTCCCCAAAAGGGTCTGGGAACACCCCAGGGATGTTCCTGTGTGCAGCACCTTGGCCCTTCTGGACCTCAGCCGGGTGGTGGTGCAGGAACAACCTGCAAATCCCAACTTTTGTTTGAGCCTGGGAGCAAATTAAACATACCTTTTGCAATTTATGTCACAGGTCTGTAAAATGCCTGTGATAGTGCAAGTATCACAGACAATGCTGATCCCTTTAATTCCCAGAGAGTGGTTTCTGTTTGGTCTGCTGTTTAATTACATCGTGGGGCTTTTAAGGTTTACATCTGTTCTCACTTGATTAGGTCTGGAAGAGCGAAATCTGATGATGTTTTGTTTGTTTTTTTTCCCCTTTTGGTCAACAAAGCTCTCTGTAGCATCTGATGAGCACTCCTGGGTTTGAAAGGGGGGAAATTGAGGACAAATAAGTGAAACCTCTGTATTTAGGAGGCAGCTTCTCTCTGAAGGAGAACCTGAACCCCCAAGATGTGATAAGGAGCATCTCTCCTTCAGAGAGAAGCTCCTTATCACATCTTGGGGGTTCAGGAGACCCAAGAAACCTCCCTTGTGGTAGTTTCTTAACTTTCCAGTCCCCACAGGCAGGGGCAGTGGGTGCTGGTCTTCAGCTGTTGGGGGTAAGAGAAATGAAGGAGCAAACACCTCCCTCTTGAAGCAAACATGAGAGCAGTCGGTGACGATGATCGGGTTTGTCCATCTCCAGCTCGGGCTTCACTGCAATTCCTGGCCTTGGGGAGATCTGGGAGGTCCAGGCTAATTTATAATAAAATACTACACTTGCAAAAGCAGCTCTTTCAAGCAAATTTCTTCTCCTCCTGCAGATACGGTGTTTAAACTCAGGGAGGAGAGCAAGCTCCTTCGGAAGGCCCACCAGGAGGTTCATACCCAGCTCCTGAATGCCCAGGTAACCAGCCAGGGGCTGCCTGTGGGACCCTGGGGTCTGCATGCACATCCAATATTCTCTGACTGATAAATCTTACCAGCTGTATCCCGGTGAATACAGCTGGTGAGCTGCCTAAACCACTGCTGGTAGGTGTCGGTAATGTAGATCCATACGAGTGAAATTTTCCAGGCTGGAATCTGTCCCAGGTAACGCTGCACAAGTCCCTGGGGGTTCAAGGCAGCGTGAACCAGCACATTCCCAACCCTGGAATGCCTCCTGTCACCTCCACACATCTCAAATCCTTTCAAATGGTGGTGGGTTGTTTTTGTTTATCCCTATAAAATTAATTGCAGAGGGAAACAACGCCTGGTTTGCTGACCCCCCCCAACAGGCACAAGCTTTGCATCCCCCCGGGTTGTTCTGACATCCTCCAAGTTCACATCCCATGAACTGCTCTTGGCTGCCTTCTCCTCGTTCCTCTCACGTCAGCTGGGCTGAGTGTTTCTGTCGGCGTTTGTTTTGTTGTTTTAAAAGTCAGTTTTAAGGTCAGATTTCAGGGGGAAGGACTGAGATCAACAGAGCCTGCTCAGGAATTAATTTCCTGCTCAACTTTCCTTGCTGCTTGGAAGCTTTCCTCCCCAGCCCTGTCCCTAATTTGGGCCATTTCCAGGTACCCTGGCAAGCACATGAAAAGCTCTCCCCCCTCGCTTTCCTATAAATAACCAGGGTGGAAGTGGGGAGCTTTTCCTGAGTGGCTTTTTCAAGCCCTACTTTTCAGGATGGGAGCTGAAAGGAATAAGCTGCAGGAGAGAGGGAAAAAAAAAAAAAAGCATTTGCATTTGCAGTCCAGGAGAATTGATTTTCATTTGTCTTGCAAAGTAAATTGGGTTGTCAGGTTGGATTATGCCAATTATTGTCAGCCCTGCTGAGACGAGCACATCCAGGGAGAAATGCTGCAGCTGGGAGGAAATAAGTTGACCTGGAGGTACGTGAGTGTGAGGCACAGGAGGAGTGGGAGGCACAGCTAAGACCCAGGGTACAATTCTCGTGCCAAGGCAGGACTTACAGCAAAGGTTCATTCACTGAAGAGCATCAGGAAAAGGACCAGTGTCACAGCTCAGCACTGCCAGGGTGAAAATGTCCAATAAGATGCAAGACTGGCACAGGGGGAATACAGAACAGCCGTGAAATCTGGAGGGAAAGCTGAAAACAGGCTGGTCATTAATGGCTGTGGATTTTCTCTGACCTTCCATGTGTAGAAAATACCTCACCTGTGCCAAGGGTGGCTGTCCCCAGCAAGGAGGTCCTTAACCCTGTTACTGTGGGAGGTTTCTCTGTGTCCTTCTCACCCCCTCAGGCCCAGATGGAAGAGTTCAGGCAGCTCAAGGAAGCTCTACAGAAGATGCCAGGCTTCAGAGGAGGAGGAGGACGAGGAGCTGGGAAGGGGCAGCAGCCCGTGGTGCCAGCCCACAGCCAGCTGCAGCTGGCCAGGCAGAAGGTGTGGTATTCCCAGAAAAAGCCTGGTAGGAGCGCTCTGCAGGGCTCCTGTGGGTTTCCAGCACCGGGAACAAGCCCAGCTCCCTCCAGCTCAGCTCAGAGTGTGCTGTTGTCCTTTCTCCCTCGCAGGGTTTCCCGGTCAACCCGGAGGATGGGATCCCACTGGCATCTCCCGTCTCCGGGTTCCACAAGCCGGCAGAAGCCCCGGTGGTGCTGCAGGGACAGAACTCCTACAGCCAGGACGGCCCGAGGCCACAGCCCATGGTGCCCTTAACCCAGCCCACCCCACCCCGGGGTGCCAACTCGCTGCCAGAGGCCGTGCCAGCCTGGCCGGCGCGGCGCGGGGACGGCCGCGTGGTGAGATTCACCCGGACCATGAACAGCCTCCCCAACGGGAACCCCGTACGTGTGGCCTTTGCCTGGGGAGCTGTGGGAGCTGCAGCGCTCTGTGGGTGGGAAACCCACGGCCCTGGGGTGCTTTCGGGCTCCTGGGCACTCGTGGTTTCTCCACCGGGCTCAGTGGAGTGGGATGAGGTTCTTCTGCCAGACCTGCAGAGAGTAAATCGTAAAATCAGCCCCCCCTTCCTCCCCCTCCTGGGCTGATTGAGAGAGAGTTATGGAAAGTAAATATCTAAAAAAGGACAATAAATTGCAGTGTGGCTAGACTGTAATTACAGTGACTATTATGAGGATGGGAGGTGGGGGGTTTAGGGGTGGTTTTGTTCCTCTTTCCTTGGAGAATCACCTACCCAAGACAGGACCTAAATTATTTCATTTTGTCTTGGAAGGAGAAGGGCCTGTTCTACAGCAAGCTGGACAGGACTGTAGATGTGTTCTGGAGCACTTCTGAATCCTTGTTCTCAGATAAAGGATTTTCTGGCCCATAAACCTGTCCAAATGCAAGATCTGGGGGTATGTGACAAGGTTAGGCTCTTGTGCACATCCCAGGTGTCTTCTCCCCAGGACGTGAAGATGGTGATGCGCATCCAGGTGAGAAGCCACGAGGAAAGCCAAGCTCCTGGACTGGCCCTGCCTGGTCCCAGACAACCCTCTGCAGCAGAAAACCCTCCAGTTCCAGACAACCACCTCTCCACAGGGAACAGGCAGGGGCAAATGCAAAGGTTGGTGACACACAACTCCCTTCTGCTCTCAAAGTTCAGGCTGAAGGTTCCAAAAGGGGCAGCCCTGATCTCTCTCTTCTTGTGTTTATTGTGGGTCTAACTGAAAGGTGGTTGAAGGAACAACCTTTCCTTGGTGTGTTAGTGGCATTGTCTGGTCAGGATCCTGTCGAACTGGATGCTGTAAGGCACTGGGGAGACTGTTTACTGTCTCAGCAGCACTTGCAGGAGACTGGTTTGTTTTGCAAAGGGAAAAAAATGTCTCTCTGCAGCTGCAATTCATCAAAGTCTGGCCATAATCCAAAAAGGGACTCTGAAAATAGTGCTTCCTCCTTTAACTTATTTATCCCCTGTGTGTGTCCAGGTCCTATCTGTTCAGTTTACTGGAGCAAACAGGATTTCATGTCTGTTTTATCTGTAGAGGAAGCTCCTGGACCTCACTCTAGAGTCAGCCTGACCCTTTCTGCTCTTCCATTTTTGTTTGTTCACTTAACCTGCAACCTTCCCAGGGCAGGGACTGTGCTTTCCTTGCTCCTTTAAAAGGCAGCGTCCTCCCCAAGCTGCTGTGACAGGCACCATCTGCACAGGCACAGGAGCTGTGCCCAGGGGATGTTCTGCTTGTTCAGGGAGGGGCTCACTGAGGGTGAGGTGGTGGTGGCAGAGTGGTCTCTCCTCAGCCATGCAGAGCCCAGCCAGGTGAGCATCGCTCTGTGAGACTGAGAATGCAAATGTTGACGTGTTTGGCGAAGGGTTTTGGCCAGGACACGCATCCTGGAGTGTTTGGTGAGCTTTGCTTTTCCTGGATCTATCATCAAGGAATTAGGGAGCAGCTGGAGGCTTTTGTTTACGCTGTGGGAGATTTGTGATAAGGAGCACATAACCCAACCTTGTCCAGGCCAAGAGCAATAAGGGACCTCAGGGCAGCACAAAGAGCCCCTGGATCCAAGGCCAGGAACTGCTGCCTGGGGTGGCTGAGATTGCCTTGATGGGGCAGTTTGCATTTTGATGGTTTTAAAAGGAGGGGAATCTGAGCTGAGGGCTGGGTTATGATTTCCCTTGCTGAAGGTTTTGTGTGCTGGCTTAAGAAGCTGCTCATGCCAAGGCCGCTTTCTCAGCTTTTAAACACAGAAAGTATTTTTTTTTTTCTCTGCTTGCCATCATGAAATAGCTTTATGAAATATCTCCTGCTGCGCTGAGGCAGGGGGGTCACGTTTTGTTTCACACTCTTCTTGTTGCAGCTGGAAAGACATAGTGAACAAGGTGAATGCCCAGATGGATGAAGAACAAGCACGTGGTTACCCAAAGAGCCTTCAGTTTGCCCCCCAGCCTGGGCAGGAGGTGCAGAGGGACAGCTCCCAGGCCCCCAGCCAGAGGAGAGGGGAGGAGCATCACAGAGCTGAGCAGGGAGGAGAGAAGGAGAGGACGGATGAGGAAGAGCTGGAAATGGGTATGGCTTCCCTAGTGGCACTGGAGGAGCGTTTCTCTGCAAACACAGAGCGTTGGCCTCCTCAAATCCCTGCTTGGCACAAAGTTAAGACACTGGTGACTCTGGCTTTGAGACACCACTGACTGTGCCTGTTCCTTGCAGATGCAGGAGTGATCGACAGGGAGGAGAGCTTGCACCCTCAGAAACAGACTGCTGTCCAGGAGCCGATGGTAAGGAATGGGAGAATCAGAAAACCACAGAGTGGCTTGGCTTGGAAGGGACCTTAAAGACCATCTCATTCCAACCCCCTGCCGTGGGCAGGGACACCTTCCACCAGACCAGGTCAGTCAGGGCCCCATCCAACCTGCCTTGGAAAGTAGCGGTGCCCTGTGTCATCTGGATGCAACCCCAGCTTGGAATGAGAGTCCAATCAGTCAATAATTGCCCAGAAGTTTCTAGAATGTGCAACTCCAAACTCCTCAGATCTGGAGGGATTCAGAGGGCTAACAAAGACTGGAGGGGGTTGTTTGTTTCTACAAACACTCCCAGGCTTGGGCAGGCATGACTGAGGGCTCCAAGCCAGCACTCTGCTTGCTGGGAAGGCATCAAGCCCTCTTCTTCTTCTCAAGGGGACATCCTGCCAGGTACTCACAGGAGGCTTTTCTTGTCCAGATGCCAGATGATGCTGCAGATCCTGCCCAGGATCCCAATAACCAAGGTGAGGATGAGTTTGAGGAAGCTGAGCTGGAGAGACCTGACTTCGAAGAGAAGGTGGGAGGTTTGGAGAAGTTCAAGGAGCGCAACGTGAGAGAAGAGTCAAAGGAGAAGCCACTGAAGGTGAGTGACATGAGGGCAACCAGCAGGGCCAGGGAGGGACCCCCAGCTATGGATGGGGGGAGGCAGAGAGCTTAAGGACTCAAAGGAGAACGTCATGTCCCTGGATGGATCCATAAAGCCACTGCAAGGACGTGGCAGGCAGGAGGAACCTCCTTCTGAGGGAGAATTGGCGGGTTGGTCAATCCCAGAGCTTGTTCTGGCTCTGTCCTCTCTGCCTGTTGAAGTCACCCCTGCCTGGCTGGAGAGACGTGGAGCAGGGAATGGCTCACCCACTGCTGCTCCTGCAGAGGGGCTGTGGCTTTTCATGTACTCGAGACCAAAGCCAGAGATAATAAAATGAGTGTCTGCTCTTCTGGTGGGTGCAGCCCTGCCTGTTTTAGGCTCCTGGCAGCAGTGACTGCACAAGAGAGCTCTGCCTGCTTGTTTGCCTCCTTGCAGATGGAATCCATTTACTTCCCAAAGTGTTTCTTGCTGCCTGAAGCCAGACTTTGCATCAGGGAAATGTTGGCTTGTTTTGACAAGCAGCTGAGTGTTGCTTGTTTTAAAAAAGGAGTGTTTTATCTGTCAGGCTTTAAAATCATGATTAATAGTGAGATTAAGGAAAAAAATAAAAGGCATCCAGGCCAATGAAATCAAACAAGAGAGAGATGCTGGCACCAAGAGAGTAACACCTCCTGGAGATAAGTGAAAATGTGGAAAGAATTAGTGACATCAGTACCTGGCTCTCAGATGGGGCTGTGCTGTGTGCCCTAAATAACTCACAGATTCCCTGCAGTCCTGGGACTTGAGGCAACGTCCCTGGGACCCGAAACCTCTCTCCACAGTGGAAGGAGCTGGAAAGAGAGACTGGATGGAGAAAACACATGGAGTTTGGGTTGCCTGATTGTCTCTCTGCTCCCCCTGATTCCCGGTGCAGCCCAATCTTCCAGACCTGGGGCTCTAAAGCCAGGGAGTTGTGTCCCTGGCAGGGAATGGGAGCAGGCTGGGGCACTGTCAGCAGTGTCTGACTGTATTTTTCAGGATGCTGGCAGACCTGCCAAGCCCAGGGAAGACCCAATGGAAGACTATCAAGAAGATCAGGAGCAAGAAATTGTACGACACCAAGGTTCTCCCCCTTTCCCTCTCTGGTGTGGTTGTTACCTGGGAGTGCTGGGAGCCAGGAACTGGGGAGGACTCAGCTTTTAGGGAGCCACTAGTTTGCCCTGCCTGCCCATGAGGTGGGTCTCCAAAACAACCCTGGAGCCCACCTACCTCTGCTCCCTTTTCCAGGGGTTCAGAGTACCCTTCATGCTCTGTCTCCCCTCCTCACCTCTGTCTGCATCCATCTGCAACAGCTGAGCCATGGGATGCTTCCCAAACAGGAGCTGGGGGGAATTACAGGCTGTGCCAGTGCCACTGGGCAGGATCCCTGTGTTTCTCTGAGCATGAGCTGGAGAGGATCACCCAGAGGGCTTCTGGCTCATGTAGATAGAAATGAGGGATCCTCTTCCAGTCCTGCTTATCCTCTCCCTGCCTTTTGTGAGTGGCTGCTGTGGGTTTTTTTTCCTGCAGTTTCAACATGATTGCTGAGGAACTGAGGGCTGGGAATGAAGAGAGTGGGGAAATAAGGGATGGGCAGAGCAGAGTTGGTGTCAGGAGGTTTCCTTTCCCTGTGTGAATCCAGGCCTCTTGTAGGTTCTACTGGACTGTTGGACCTATAAGTGTTCCCTGGAGGCTGTGCTGGCTGCTGATCAGGGGGGGGATTTGGGACACAGTTTTCCATGTGGTGGATGTAGAGTATCTTCTACAGCGACAACGGGCTGAGATGTTAAAATTGCACTGTAATGCCAGGACATTGAAAGTGCTTAAAACAAACAGGCTGATCATGGCAACACCCCAGCCTTGGCTCAGTGGCTTGCCAATCACACCTGGCAGAGGTGGATTCTTCCCTGTTTTCCCAAGTTTCCGAGCTGGGCTGGTATGGTAGAACAGCTGTACCCAGAAGCAGCACAGTGTGCTGCTAGTTAGGGTCTCCTTTCCCAGGCCTTGCTGATTTTTCCCTTCCTGGCTGTTCCCTCTGCACCCAGGAGGATCATGGAGGTGAGGTGGACGACAACGATGACCTGGAGCTTGTCCAAGAGCGGAAGGACCGTGCGGGCCTGCCAGGAGCTGGTGGCAAGAAGGACGACTACTACTGAGAGATGCTGAAGGAAAACGGGATCCTCTCGGAATGAGGGGACGGGAACTCCTCCTGGGAACTGGCTCCTGTATTAAACACTGCCCAGAACAAAGGCAGGAGGAGGTAACTCTTGCAGGCCCCGAGCAGGGGCCTCGCAGACATGCGTTCCATCTCCCTGTGGGGGCCGTTGGCTCTCCGGTCGATGGCATCGGAAGTGCTCTCAGACTCTAGGAATGATTTTATCCTGCTGCTTTTTCTTAGAAGCACTTTTTGATTTACTGTGTTCTTCACCTTCTTGTTTTCCATATTCCCTCCAAAGCTGGAGAGGGGTGGTTTTTTGTTGGTTTTTGGGGGTATTTTACCCCCCTGGGCAGCAGAGGGGTGCCTGGACCGGTCCCTGGACTTACTCGACCGATTGCTAATACAAAGGAATCTCTCTTCGTAAAGTATTTTGCTCTGTGGTGTTTCTTTAACACAGCCTTTTTGCTCCCCTCAGAGTAAGGTGGGAAGGGAGTCAGAGGAAATTATCCTGCTCTTTGTCTGGAGCAGTGCAGGGATGACAACCAACCCTGAGCTCCCACAGAGGGGACTGTGCCAGCAGTGTGTGTGTGTGTGTGTGTGAACAACTGGATCCTCTTCCTGGTGCTGAGACCTCCCAGTGACCCGGAGGAGAACCCTGTGGAGTTCTCCTTTCCTTGGCTTTGAGCCATGACAGTCCTGCTGGGCTTGGAGCCTCCCCATCTAATGCTGTGCACCTTGGCCTGGCATTGCTGCTGCTCCCTGGGTTCCTGGAGATGTGGGTTAGGACAGGCTCTCCTCCTCTGTGCCAGGGACTGCCATGAAAAGAAATGGGAAAGAAGGAATCTTTGCAGCCCAGCTAATGCTCATTTCCAGTCTCCCAATGCTTGACAGGGAGCTAAGAGCAATTTGTCGTCTTCTAGACGGGTTTTAATCAGCAGGTTTGATATTTCTAGTGTTCTGTTGATGCAGTAGATTGAAACCTGTGGTGCTTTACTTAAGCTCCTGTCCCAGTTTAAATGAGACAAAGTTCTTTTGCTGAGGATGGATTAGGAGAAAAAGACCCAAACTTCCTTTTCTAGCAATTATAAATTCGAAATTAAGAGGCTCCGATTGAAGGAAAACAAATTATGGAAAAGGGA